ACGTTATTCCGGTGTGGATTAGGGGATAACATGGGAACCCTAAATAAGGTGTCATTAACGCTTGCTGTTTTTGCATGGAGGGATTTTGCGGGCCGGTGTAGAATTCTTTTTGAATGTTTTGTTTTTGGGAAAATCCCTCCATGTTTACATATTTTTGCCATGACCTGATGGACTTTTTCTCTTGACATTTTTGGTATTTTATTTGATTCCAATTTGAGATTTTACCATTGTATGTTGTTATTCTTTCCATATTTTGTACTTATATTGAAGTTTTTGTGTTTGCTTCTGAATTGTACATATATTGTTTAAATTTGATATAATATGGCTACCGCCACATTTTTGGATAGACGCGGTGGCTGCTGGACTTAGTGTCACTTACTAGCTATTGTAATAGATACTCTACGGAGTAATTTAGTCCTGGAAGAAACAAAAACATCGTAAGCCTCTGTATTTCCATTTTATAACAATATAGAGACGGTTTTCTCCTAGAATTTTTGACCTTCTGATTTGGCTGGGACCTGGATCTAGGAGTATCGTACCGGTGTGTTTCTATTGGACGCGATTAGGACAGCCGCCGGCGAAATAGATTCTACATCAACCAACCAAATAAATCACAGACAAACATAGGATCAAGACACACATCAAAGGGGGATGCAATCAAAATAAATATGTAGACATTGACAGGTTTGTAGTGACTCTTTTTTACGAAGAAAACGCGATTGGTTTATTAGAAACATTTATTATTATAACCAATTGTACCAGTGATTGTTTAACTGTGCTTTTTGTTTATAACTCTTTAAGCGCAAACTTCCGTTTCTGTTGTTGACAGTTTGCCTCCACCGCCTCCTGTAATTTTTCCCCTGTTTTCTTGCACGACTGAGGTATTCTTTCGATACAACGAGATCGCCAGTAATTATATTCTTTTCTACGGAATAACCCCACCTCTCTGTGATGGACTCGTAATTGCTGAAGTGGTGATCACAGTCAATCTCGACTCGATTGCCACTACACGTTAAAGATCAGTAATAACTAACCAAGATCGAAATCAACTGAACAAACTAGGATTCATTCGTGGAAAAATTCTGATACTTAACATCAGTTTGAAGATTGTGATAGTGCTGTTATTCAGAAGAACCTGGTTTGGCAGATCAAATTTAAAGGACACAGATCACCATTGCAACACAAACACACTGTTGTAGAAGGAATTGCGAAACAACAGACGAAGTGCAAGTGTTGGCGGTCGATTACAAGTTGATGCCCTGCGATCCAGATACGCAAATAGTGTTGCTAACAAGTACACCACTACAGGACCGAGTAATCGTGTAGGATTGTTGGAAAGGTATGTTGATGGACAAAGATAGATAACAGAAACCAAACGATAAGAATGAGCTAACGGTTCTTGCCTTCATATGCTTAGTCTGTCATATCCGAACTTCCACACTCTAAGATGGTTGTGATACCGTTACTTGACAGAGATATGACATACTAGAGTCTGCCCATACGACTATGTTTTGAACTGCTTATTTGTGCCCTAACGTGTATATTGTTTTCATAATATCCACAAGATTCATTCTAACTTTCGTACAGTCACATACACGACATTCCAAACGTATCTCCATTATTTGTCCTCTTACCTGTTATCTTAACTCCGCCAGTAGAACCTTAGGGGCTACTGCCGGTCCCAAGCCCGGGTAAAGGAGGAGGGTTAGACATGGGGTTGGCGACCCCATCCCAACTAAAAACTAACTGGCCAAAAAAACGCTAACCAGAAAAAATAATTCAAACCATTTTAACTCTGCCCTGGGAGTCGGAGGAAGAATTATGACGTCGCGTGATGAAAGCCGAGTTCCCTCGGAAGTCACGGGGCTGATGCCTCTTCTGACAACCAGATCAACCACTCTTTTAGGTACATGGAACGTTCGTACATTGTGGGAGACTGGAAGACTATTTCAAGTTGCGGCAGAAATGAAAAGATACAACCTCGAGGTGCTTGGAATCAGTGAAACACATTGGACACAAGTAGGACAACTGAGACTAGCTTCAGGGGAACTGCTGTTATACTCTGGTCATGAAGAGGAAAATGCTTCACATACACAAGGAGTTGCATTGATGCTGTCCAAACATGCACAAAAGGCACTGATAGGATGGGAATCTCATGGACCGCGGATCATTAAAGCATCCTTCAAAACAAAGAAAGAGGACATTACAATGAACGTCATCCAATGTTATGCACCTACCAATGACTACAATGACGACGTTAAAGATCAATTCTACGAAAGGCTGCAGTCAATCGTCGAGAAATGTTCACCAAAAGATTTGACGATTCTTATGGGAGACCTGAATGCCAAGGTTGGAATGGACAACACTGGATATGAAGACATCATGGGAGGACATGGACTGGGAGAAAGGAACGAAAACGGTGATAGATTTGCAAACCTATGTGCCTTCAACAAACTGGTCATCGGTGGCACAATATTCCCGCACAAACGCAAACACAAAGCTACATGGATTTCACCGGACCACACTACTCAAAACCAGATTGATCATATCTGTATCAACAAAACGTTCAGAAGGACTATGGAGGATGTAAGAACCAGGGGAGGAGCTGATGTAGCATCAGATCACCATTTGCTAATCGCCAAAATGAAACTGAAACTAAAGAGGCACTGGACAACGGGACAGACAACATCACACAAGTTTAATACGGCCTTTCTTCGGGATACTGTAAAGCTCAACGAATTCAGGATAGCCCTCACCAATCGGTTCCAGGCCTTTCAGGATCTACTCAATGGAGGGGACGCAACATTGGAGAACAATTGGAAAGGGATTAAGGAGGCAATCACTTCAACATGTCAGGAGGTCCTTGGTCGCAAGAAGCACAATCACAAGGAATGGATCTCTGTTGATACTCTTGAGAAAATTGAAGAAAGGAGGAACAAGAAAGCAGCAATCAATGTCAGCCGAACAAGAGCGGAGAAAGTTACCGCACAAGCTGCATACACAGAAGCAAACAGGGAAGTGAAGAAGAGCATCAGAGCTGACAAACGAAAATATGTGGAAGATCTAGCAATGACGGCGGAAAAGGCTGCAAGAGAAGGAAACTTGAGACAATTGTACGAAACTACAAAGAAGCTCGCCGGGAACTATCGTAATCCAGAACGACCAGTGAAAAGCAAGGAAGGCAAAGTAATCAGCAACACTGAACAACAGCGAAATAGGTGGGTGGAGCACTTTAAGGAACTCTTGAATCTACCAGCTCCACTGAACCCACCCAACATCGAAGCAGCATCCAAGGATCTCCCAATTAATATTAGCGCACCTACGGTTGAGGAGATCAGTATGGCCATCAGACAAATCAAGAACGGCAAAGCAGCAGGACCAGACAAAATTCCAGCAGAGGCAATGAAAGCAGATGTAGAAGCAACTGTGAAAACATTTCACATCCTCTTCAAGAAGATTTGGGATGAGGAACAAGTACCATCAGATTGGAAAGAAGGATACCTCATCAAAATACCAAAGAAAGGCGATCTCAGCAAGTGTGAGAACTACAGAGGCATCACTCTTCTTTCAATACCAGGCAAAGTCTTCAACAGAGTATTGTTAAACAGAATGAAGGACTTCGTAGACGCCCAACTTCGAGATCAACAGGCCGGATTTCGTAAGGATCGATCGTGTACTGACCAAATTGCTACATTACGGATCATTGTGGAACAATCAATAGAATGGAACTCACCACTCTACATCAACTTCATCGACTACGAGAAAGCATTCGATAGCGTGGATAGGAAAACACTGTGGAGGCTTCTTCGACACTACGGTGTGCCTGAGAAAATAGTCAACATCATACGGAATTCTTATGATGGATTCAACTGCAAAATCGTGCACGGAGGTCAGCTGACAGACTCTTTTGAGGTGAAGACCGGTGTGAGGCAAGGTTGCTTACTCTCACCCTTTCTCTTTCTCCTGGTCATCGACTGGATTATGAAAAAGTCAACATCTGGAGGGAAGCACAGTATCAACTGGACAGTTAGGACGCAGCTGGACGATCTGGACTTCGCAGATGACTTGGCTCTTCTATCGCACACTCAACAACAAATGCAAGAGAAGACGACCAGTGTAGCAGCAGCCTCTGCAGCAGTAGGTCTCAACATACATAAAGGAAAAAGCGAAATTCTCCGATGCAACACAACATGCACCAATCAAATCACTCTTGATAGGGATGCCTTGGAGGACGTTAACACCTTTACATATCTGGGCAGCATCATCGACGATAAAGGTGGATCGGACGCAGATGTGAGGGCACGGATTGGCAAAGCAAGGGCTGCATTTCTACAGTTGAAAAATATCTGGAAATCCAAACAACTTCCAACCAAAACCAAAATAAGGATTTTCAATACAAATGTGAAGACAGTTTTACTGTATGGAGAGGAAACTTGGAGAACTACCAAAGCCATCATCCAGAAGATACAAGTGTTTGTTAACAGCTGTCTACGCAAAATACTTCGGATTCGTTGGCCAGACACTATCAGCAACAACGAACTGTGATAGAGAACAAACCAGATTTGAGTGGAGGAGGAAATCAGGAAGAAGTGGTGGAAGTGGATAGGACACACATTGCGGAAAGCACCTAACTGCGTCACGAGACAAGCCCTCACATGGAACCCTCAAGGCAAAAGGAAAAGAGGAAGGCCAAAGAATACATTACGCCGAGAAATAGAGAAAGATATGAGAGGAATGAACAAACGTTGGACAGAACTGGAGAGGGAAGCCCAGGACAGAGTTGGTTGGAGAAAACTGGCTGGCGGCCTATGCTCCATTGGGGGTAACAGGCGTAAGTAAGTAAGTAAGTAACCTGTTATCTTGAGTGTGTGTCCGTTTTTCCTTCTCCCTGTATTCTGCAAAAGTATTGATCGGTGTCATATAAACAGTAATGCTTAAAAACGAATGCCTTAACATATACTAGGCAACTGAGCTACACTAATTAATCAATCAAAAGCAAATAAGTGATAAGATGTATAATTCATGTTAAAAAAAGTATACAATTAATGAGGTGATGGGACAAACCGGTTCACAAGTTTTAAGTCGAAACACTGAATAGGCGAATAAATCACCAGGATTGCAAAATTAAGAAATATGTATAATTACTAAGTATGTATTACTTTTGATGATAATTCATTGATCAAATTACCAAAATCCCATATATATGCAACTCCACTTGTATTTCCAGTAGCAATTAGTTTAGAACTAAAATTAAAATAAGAAAAAGCAAAAAGCAAGTATGTTTACAATGGATTGTGAAGATGACTTACTCTTGTTCATTAAGTTTTGCAGATACAACTGTATTATAAGCATCACTATCTATTTGAGATGTCAATGTATACAGTAGCTCAGGTTGAAAATTGTACTGTTTTTCTTCATTAAAACTATTGTATATTGTATTGATTCCTTCATCACCGATCAAATCGTAAACAAGTATATGATTATATTCAGTTATGCACATAAAAATATTTGGTAAATGAGATGAAAACTCAACAACATGTACTAAACCATCATTTGGATCAATGCTGATCAATGGAGATTTTTGTAATATATTAAAGAGCTAAAAGTAAATGTAAAAAAGTAAAAGGATTCATCATCAGAAAATCCTCCAAGTTTATTTCAAATAAATCAATTTCAACAACTACACAATGAAACCTAAAAGGAAGGAATTCATTTACCGTATCGGTGTAATGATTTTATCGATTAGAAACAACGCTATATTGTTTTTAATGTACTAAAAAAAAACTTTAATAGAACTGGAACACTAATATCATTACGTTAATGTTGACTTTCAACTAATTTTTAAAAGAAATATTCAGTTAAGAAATAGAATAAAATGTTTAATTTTGACAGTTTTAATGACATGTTACTTAAATCTGACACAACTAAAATTATCGGAATCAAACATCTGAGATTCATTACTTATTCTGATTCCAAGCACATCAGTGAGACAAAAACCACTGCGATGGAATTTGGTTCAATTTAGCATACGTTGTGAATATCATCTAGTTCAGCTTTATTATCGGCATATTTTAAATTGATTGATAATTCATAGTGACCACTGTCATATTTGTCTAGTGCTGATTGACAGCGTCTAGTTGTCACAACATACTTGTACATTGAGCATTCTTACATGAGGTTAGTTGGATTCTGATTATTTCAGCGGTTTCAATTTGTGAAACTGGAAGATATGAGTTCGAACTCTACAGAGAGCATTAACTCTCTCGAGATTGCAGGTACGTGATTATGACAAGTGTCTACTAACTTTAAACTTGTCTATAGTTTATTCTCGATTATCTGGAACCATCTAACAAAAGAATTATCGTTTGCTGAATTAGAAAACAGGTTGTTATGTTTATTTATTTGTAACGAATACACTGATGAAAACTGAAATGTATGATTCACAACTTTTCAGTACTAATTCTGTAGGCGAGAAAAGACAACTGAATTCTGAACATTATCTAAACAAGATGAGAAAAGTTCACAAACCAAAAAGATACACTATTTTCGTCTTTATTGACGATCATTATTTACGTATCAACAACAAAACATGAATATTAGTCTTTAGGTAGTGTAGTTCAACTTAAATGTTGAGAACAGATAGTTAACTTCGAGATGGATTGTTTAATGTTGAGATCGAGGAATTAACTGCCAACAGTTGAAACGTCAAATCTTATAGCAAATTTAACTTTCTGATAGTTTACTGATAGGCCTTATTAATGATGACTGACAAATAATAAAAAAATTTAAAAACTTTTTACAGACTATTTCAAACAAACTTGAACATCACTAGTGAGAAATAACACTTATTCTATAATGTTAATTTATCAAGTATTGTGTTGTAAATTGAATCACAATTTACATTTTGGTGATTTAGAAGTTTAAGTATTAACCACATTTTTCTACTGGATATCCTTTCTATTCATACCTGAATACAATGATTGAATCCAGAAACAAGAATAAGATTGGGATGGAATTTACTCCAGTCAACTGAATAAATTGGGCCATCTTGACGAGCAAGGGAAAATTTAACCGGCGACTGTAGATGTTCGTCCAAGGATTCTTCTGAAATGAAAGTTGATATCAAAAAACACTTGTTAGTTTGTTTCACTGAAATCTATTTGAAATTTCTAATATTCCTTAGCCTACAATATCGCATAATATAATGAACTTGATCTATTGATGAGATCATGATCATATAATCGATTACGTCATAATCAAATGTTAAACTAGATGTTGATGTAGACCAAATTTAAAATTATAATATACGATAAAAGACAAAATTTATCCCAAATATTCTTGTATATTTGCTTTAGTCGTTCATAAAATCCTGAATGTTGTTCGGAGAAATTATTATATCTCATAGAATATCTGCCCAAAAAGTGAATGTTAATAAAGAAACTGAACAGTGTTACTGAAAATTATTTGACCGATAATTTTGATAACGATTCACCGTAACTTCTGACTTAAAATGAGTTAGTTACACAAACTGTAGAACCTGGTTTAAAGATACATTTGTTCAAAATGTCACTCCAGAATTCTGAGTTGTTGTAAGAGAAAAGGCTTCATATGATGAGTCGTTCAACAAAGAAAATACTCAAAATAACTTCAGGTTTTCGGCTGATTTTTGATTTATTAGCTAATATTACTCAGAATGAAAAAAATATTTTTTTAGCCAAAAATATCATGTATATATATGATCTTTGAAAGGTATTGTGAAGTGTAATAACATGTTACTTACTATGCGTTTTATTCCAATCAACAGAATTTATTTGACAGATTAATAATCCTCCTGTTTCTGTTCCAACAACAAAGTTTTCCGGATCATTTTTAGCCAATGAAACACAAGTTATATTAACCGCTTCGTCATTAGTTATTGTCTCGGATAAATTTGATCGAAAGGGATTCTGATTTTTAAATGAATTCAAATGACTGGATATTGGTAAAGAATTTTGATCTTTGTGTCTTATTTGAAATCTATAAAAATAATAATTCGTAAATAAGTTTATCATACTATCATTATAACTAAACAGAATGAATTGGAAAGTTTTTTAGTAAACAGTGGAAACCTCAGTATTTTATGTTTCATTGAGTTACAGAAGTAATAAAAAAACTAATTGGAATAATTAAAAAATAGAGTTCTAAATTGGCCGACTTCTTGGCTATTTTATAAGTTATCAAAAACATTATGAATTAGCAATCATTACGTTGAAAAAGTGACATCTGTCGATTGATACACTATTCACAAGAATATATCTATTGAAGTGTCATCACTTTTATACCGTGTAACTAAAAGTTACATGGACCAACATTGGACAGAAGTGGAAAGGGTAGCCCAGGACAGAGTAGGTTGGAGTACGCTGGTCGGTGACCTGAGGGTGGCAGGCGTAAGCTAAATTCGTTTTTGAGATTATTGTTTAGTTTTATAGAAATAATAACTGTACGTGTTCTAGTAAATAGTTTCGAAATGAATTTTTCAGCCATCAGTCGAGAACAAGAGACCTACATAGTCATTTGAATAGATGATGTGACAGTAAATGACGAAAAGTCATTGAGCACAAGTCTCTTTTAACAAAGATCATAAGATTCCAGATCAGCAGTATTCAGTCTGCATGATACGTAGTTCTCATGTATTCTACGGTATAGAGTTGCATATGAATATTACTGAGGAGCGTCAGCTTGGTGTTCGATGATTCGTCAGCTGATATTAGTCTGTGATAAAAAATCATGATAGTGGATGAGAAATACAAGTAAATAAAACGAAACATTTACTCAAAATTAACCACTTACATTTTAACACAGTCCACTTTTCCTGAGTGACGTAGATCGATTCGCCAACAAATAACTCTTCCATCACTTCCTGCACTTAATAACTGATAAGTTGTTGTATACTGAGTGATATTGTTGAAAGTTAAATTTTGTAAGCTAGACTCTAGACTACCTGAGATCCAGTTGATTTGATTGATACAGTCTTTATGACCATTATTCATACCTCCGATACTAGCTAATAGATGATCGTTTTCGTTAGCACGATTCCAGACAACTAAATCTCCTAGACAATAAATAGTAAGTAAAAAGAGCAGTAGAAAGAGACGCAGTTCAACGGCATATTTAAAGAATTATTGATGTCCAAGTTATATTGTATTTTTGATACATTAATCGAGTATGGTTAAAAAAATGACTAAAGATGAAGTTGAACTGATGTTCATGGAAAATTGGTTCATCTAGCTACAAAGTTCATCAATTGGAAATAAGCAAAACAAACTCTTGCCACCTCTTCAAAAATGAAATAGTTTTCAGCACTAGAACAAACTAAAAGAAGACTAAGAACAGCTAAACTAATCTATCGGGTTATAAACTGTTAGACCCGGCCGATTTGGGAGATCAAGACTTCCTCGCTAGGGTAGTTGGTCTAATTGTAATTTTACAGTTGCAGTCCTGTAGTGAAACGGACGCATTTATTTTTCCATGAGACCTCAGTCTCAGTATCATTCGATAGTTTTCATTCTTCGATGTCATTTATTGATTTAAAAGTTTCTTCCCCATGTTTGTTTATTAAGAATTACAGTTATATAATTATAATGTCTACATAAATATAATACATTCTGTTTAAAAGATATCTTTCATGAGTTAGTAGAAGTAATGAGATTTTTGTAGCAGATATTGTTTTATCTATAAGTTTGTGAAGTCGATTTCTTAATTTAAATAGTACAGGAAGACTTTTATTTAACCAAAGGAAAGCGGTTTTTCTAGAAAATATTATTTAAATAGCCTTTATTGTTTAATAGTTAGTTCGGTTTGTCTCTTACTGAATAAATCTGGACAAGTCAACTAGTCATCAATCATTACTGTTTTCTCAGTGATCTATTAATTGTAGTTATTCATAGAAAAACCTATTTTTAAACGTTTTAGATAGCTTATACCTGAACAGCTTTCGGTTAACAAACTTTCGTATCTAATAGCAACCGAATGCTGATGCCTTGATGTAGGTACTATGATTATGAAACAAGTGAAATAAGAGAGTTATCTGTAGATTTGCTTGAGATGCCATTTCTAATCTTTAAGAATGTGTCATGTCTCCGCTTGAATGACTCCCGGGAAGTTGCTTGGGCCACGTGAGACGATACAGAATTCTAACACTTAATTTCTCGTAACAAGTAGAAGGTATGCTTACAAACCAGTGAACTATGTTTTACCTCTGATTTCAAAGTAGCTACTTGGGGTTTGCTTTGGGACAGGGGTCGTCTAGGAGCATTTGAAATGCTATAGGCCCAAATAATAAAGATCCAGTAATTTAAGGCATTCCTTGTAAGGTCTAAATTTGAGTCCCCGAACGGATTTTGTCGCTCACATTTTAAAGCCGCTTTAGAGAGTTCTTACCGTTTGTAAGTACGCTAAGTAAGACAGTAAAATTGAAGCGGCCTTAGTGGAAAATCCTATTGTCAATTAAGGCGGAAATCGGGGCTTCAAATTTACTATTTTGGCGTTTAGTTACAGTCAGAATAAGATTTTAGGCTATAGGGAACCAAGACCTGGATCTCTTCCAACTAGAAACATTTCTGGGGCGGGACTTAACCCATTTGCATACAGAGTTCTAAAAATTATAATCTTTAGCCTTGGTAAAACATCAAATTAATTAGATGGTCTCTAAAAGTTAGATGTCAGTGTAGTTCGAATTTACTTGATCACTATTTATCATAAGTGATTAGGTGTGTGTGACGGAACAGACGGAATATTTATCCGAATATTTATCCGTTTCATGAGGTCATGTTTACTTGTGCACGTTTTAATATGAGTTAACTTGATAGTTTCTAATAAAAGATTGCACAACATTCACACATAACTGTGACGAAAGTATAACCAACAAGATTCGAAGAATAAAAATGTTGTAATAACTTCAAAGCTTCTATTTATCTGGTCACCATTACTGTACATGGCTTCATTTTAAACATATGAATAAGTTTCAATTCAGACTACGTTCAACTTTTCATTTTGTGTCCAGTTCCACTTACCGTGACCTTTAGCTTCGTTTCAAATAACCATCTCAAATGAAATAACTAAAATTTTTCAAACATTTACTTCCTTGTAATTTTCAGCGTTTTGCAGTTGATGAGTAGCCTTGGAATAAAATGAAATCAATGTATTATGCATAACTTTGTTTTCGATTTGATTATGTTTGGAGACAAGTTCAGAAAATAAATAGTTGTACTTATCTAACACACAGTAAGAATCGTTAATGGGTGTTAGGAAGAATGAAAATTATTCTCAGAGAATCCTATCGATTTCTTTCATTCATCAGAAAACAACTATAGTGCAATGTGATGTAAATTTACATTGCTTAAGATTTAAAGGAATAAACCTATTAGTAGATTCGATTTGCACAGAAAATGAAAGTATAAGTTATCCGTTTTCTGATGGTGTTTAATTCTACTACTTCAATGGTTTACTTATGAGGTTTTCATTATTTTCATCAACAATATCACGTGTATAAAAATAAAAATGAAGTGAGTTAGTAAGATTTTTTCCCAAGTGACAATCAGCTTGAATTTGGTTGATTAATAACAGGATAAGCTTACATTTTTTGAGCTTTTTCACAAGATCGATAAACATGCCAATGAAACTTTACCATTGAATTACTCTACTCTATATGAACTAACCTGTAAATGTTCCTCCAGCCAGTAACGATGGGACTACTGGATGAAATTTAATGCACATCAAGCAACTATTTGTCACATATTTTTGCTTAGGAGTATCAAATACCAATGTTTCATTTGACACATTCCACAGCGCTGCCATACCATTATGTATACACCAATCTGTATGACACAATGATCCATATCTGTGATATGTTGTGTTTAAGTGTCAAAGTAAAGCATTCATATGATTGAATTCATACCGACTGAAGTGTAAAGCGAGAATATGTAACCATTGACTAATTCAATCGCATCTAACTTTATCATTTCAATTAATAGAATCAAACTTTTTATTAGTTACTCCTTTTGAAAAACGTTAAACTTGTTGTTTGAAACAAATCGACACTTATTAAATTAGGCTTAAAATTAAGGAAAAAGGATACGATATCGCTAGTAAGGTTCCATTAGAATTCCACGATAATCCTGTAGCAGATAACTAACAAATATTTTTTATTAGTAATTTATTAATATTGACACTACTTTGAATTCTTTTGCTTCATTTAGTAAAAGTGTATTTTTTACTGCCGCATTATTTCTACTGAATAGTTTGCCCAATTTTGACTGGTTAAACACTTTCGAGTGAATATTCTTTTGTATTGCATTTGTGATAATTGGTTCAGCGCGTTTTAGAAGACATAATATTTTTTTTTCTTCAATTAATTTATCTTTATTGGTGAGTTTGGCGTTGTGAAGCTTTTCATTTTGATGATACCAATCTGTTTGAAGCTAAAAGTTAAAGAAAAATCATGGATGTTGAAGTCACGCTCATGAAAAGTAATTACTGCCTGGGTTTTATATCGTTTCGATTGTGTACCCCGATGAAATCGTTTATATGATTCCGTTTGTATTTGTAAATCGGCAAATGATCTATAAGATAATTAATTGTGTGCATTTATTGTGAAAGGATTTAACAATGACCAGTAAATTACACACTGTATTAAAAGAAATGTTAATACATAAACAATTATACATAGAATGAAAATAATTTTTAATTTATACGAATAGGTCTGGACCTGTTTTTGGGAAATATAAATTTACGAACGTATTGTTCAGATAAATTACTTGTGGTTCTATTATTTTAGAAGTTGAGGAAATATATAGCTTACATTTCTTACTGTAATTGAAATCACCAAGTGAGGTAAAGTATGGAGTTAGAAATGTTAAAGCAAGTAAACTAATAAGATATGCTATTAGCTTACACAATGGTCAAACCACTGAGTATTTATATGATCAATTTAGGGCTGTTTAGATTAAATAAGTATGAAGTTTCGAGATGTCAGAAATCAATAATTGCAGTTAATTAAATGCATTCTCATTGTAATAATCTATAAAAAAATATCTGTCATATTCGTTAAGCTTTCACTCACGTTCATCTTAATTATTTTATTATCACTTTATCAGTTTACACTTTGTGTGCCAATAGGAAACAAAGCACCTTTATTCAGGCTTAAACAATGACGGTTAAGTCTATTCTGATTATTATTAAATTATTAAATTATTAAAATATTAAAAATTGTTTTTATCTAAAAACTGATTTAAATTCATATCTCCAGTTTGTTTTTGCAGAATTCCAAGTTGACTGTCGCTATATTTCTAATTACTGTTTAACTTGGTGAAGCAGGGAGTGGGCCAGTAGCAAACTGCCAAACTGTCACGCATCTGTTCTCAAAACTGCATAAGCTATATCATTTAAAGGGAACAAAAGTCTAAAAAGAAGTTTTGTAAAACAAGCTCCGGATCCACCAACGATAGTTCATTTTCGAATAAACTTGGCCCTCAAAATAACTTATTCGGTAACTTAGTGATTGATTAAAAATTGTTAAAGTGAACTTTATGTTCAATATTTGCATGATAAAAAACCAAGTGACTGCATTTAAAGATATTATCACACTGATTCACATGTATTCGTAACAAACGAAATATTCACATCAGTTTGTAGAAATTGGCTGATTTACTAATCAATTATGCCACTAACATTGATGACACTTACCATTCATTTTTCAATTACAGGTTAGCCTAGGACTACTGGGGAGAAATGATACACGGAATAAATATTTTACCGTTTAAAGTTTTAATAACCTTTTCTATCACTATTCACAAGCCTAGTTCTTGTGAAAGACTATCTATTCGTGAGTTTTAAACGTATTCAATTATGGGCAACAAAATGCAGGAAGTAGTTTTTTTTAATGAAACTGTTAGGACACTATTTAACAGTTATGGACGGATAACCTCCCACCTACTTTTTATTTTGTTATAATATATTAATCTAGTTCTAACAGTTTAGCTGCTAGATTACTAAAACTTAGCTGTTAGTAAGTGATGAATCGAAAGTGAAATTTAGTTTTTTTTAATATTACGAAAAAAATGACCATGCTTACTTGATCACTGAACGTTTTGAACAACAGTGAACTCCATCAACGATTTCATCAGTAAATTCTTGTGTCATCATCAAGACTTGAAGTGAACAATCAAAAAAATTTGATAATGTTAGAAATATGAATAATGAAATGAGCAAATTATAATGTAATAATAAGATGTTCTTTGTTGTGATGTGTGGTGTCCGATATCTGATAATTATAAACAATGTGCAACGTATTAACCTACAAATAACTACTGAAAGATAAGAAATGGGTGAAGGGGAAAGTCTATTAGGATACCAAATTACATGTGAGGATACTCATTTGTATATATATATGTAAATATACATTTTTACCCCCTGTCAGACCAATCAGTTTCCTAACTAACGATATGCACATGTCCTTTATTGAATATCTGATTTGCACCTTGTGATCTTATTCGGTTACTTCTGAATGACTTACCACATCATTTATAAATTTATAAGCACATAAAATCATCGAAATAATATAGTCATTAGAAGTAGCTCGTAATGTTACTTTCATATTCTCTGATATAGCCTTACAGTTTATATTGATGTTATCTATTCTGACTATTTTGATGAAGTAAATGTAATAATCATAGTTCAGTGATTAATAAAACTTATTTAATTATGGCAGTACAAGTCCTTTAGAACAATTTCTTAAAGTGTTTTCTTATGCATAAACTTATTTATTGGTAAAGTAGAGATGTTTGACGTTTAGAGTTTACTACAGTCTATTTTATGCGTTGAAATCCAACAACAAATCAGTCATATATTTTCTGTAACTATTTGCGGTAACATTAAATAAAAAGTTAGTGGCTTGCAATTAAGTATTCAAATGGTAACTTAGTGACTCAGTAAAGGTTAGATGAGATATTAAGTAAAACATTTGAAATTTTTTCGAGCTATCGAAAGTAAGCGAAGTATGAGATGTACTATAAGGCTAAATTCCTTCTAGCCGCTAGTTGTATCAGACGTACTGTGGGAGAGAACAAATCAGATTCCAGTGGAGGAGGAAATTAGGAAGAAGCGGTGAAACTGGATAGAACACACAATACGAAAAGCACCAAACTGCGTCACAAGACAAGCCCTCACTTGGAAACATCAAGGCAAAAGGAAGAGAGGAAGGCCAAGGAACATATTACGCCGAGATATAGAGAAAGATATGAAAAGAATGAAGAAAAATTGGACAGAATTGGAAAGGGAAGCCCAGGGCAGAGTTAGTTGGAGAAAACTGGTGGGCGGCCTGTGCTCCATTGGTGGTAACAGGAGTAAGTAAGTAAGTAAGTAAGCTAGTTGTATCATACAGTAGCTTCGTAACACGTGATAGCTCAAATGCGTTATAAAGTATGAAAAATCACAAAAGATAAATTGAGGATCGAAAAGTAACAGATTTTTGGTACCGATCTAGAAAGTTCTTTTTCTATATCAAGTGATTAGTACACTAGAGGTTAAACCAAGCTCAGACAGACTAATAACTGACGGCTTATCTTCATACTAGAGATCAGAAGGGAAATCACTTGTCTATTTACTCTCCAACTTTTGAACACATTCTAATTTGTCCACCTGTTACATATTTACAAATATGGTCTCGAATACGTCAGGTATTCGTTCCAAACATATCCTCATCTAAGTGTAGCAGTGGATAGATTGCCGGAATAAATAGGTCTGTCGGTATTTAATATTGATGCTGATTTCATTAGTTCCGGTGGATACACCGTAGTAGCAGGCGCTGACGAAATATCATCATGGGTACAGAAGGCTCGATTGGCCTCCACTAACTTGGATTACTTATGGCGTAGGTGAGATATTCATTTGTGTACTGCGCAGCATTTCTTTCCGTCCTACTCTATGGTTGTGAGACATGGCCAGTAAGAGTAGGTGATATTCGTAGGCTACTATTTTTCGATCCTTAGTCGTACATTCTAGGATCACTGTGTACGCAATCCTGTAGTTAGAAAGCAAGTACTAATTAGGGATGGCAGATCAATAGATGAAGTGTTGTAACTTCATCAGTTTAGGTGTTTGGGACATGTGTTGCGTATGTATAACCACCGGAAGCCTCGACGAGTAATGTTTTGTGGTGTAGGGATAGGCAAGAAGAAAACTGGAGTGTCTAGACCAAAACATATCACAAATCTATGAAGTCACTGACAAGTAGACTGAACCATGTTGTAAGTGTAGACTACCTGGATGGGGTCAAAGAGATGATAAGAACGGATGGTTAAAGGCCTTGAATGACAGGGCTCCAATCGTTTGCAACAATGCAGGTGCATCAAATCTTTGTGTTCTCTCAAAATCTAGCATTCTGAATTCCTCATGACCATATTTTCCTTTTGAAATTTATTTCACTAGATTATACTTCTCAAATCTTATCTTTGACCCATATTCTTTGAGATTACCGCGGACACTGTTACCACCTCAACTATTATAGGATTTGAATTGACAGTTTCATCTCTATGTGCTGATGCGGTATTGCAACTTGAAACATTGTGTAAGGGCATCAAGTCCTAAGCTGTAGCTCTCTGGCTTAACCATTAGTTTTTCAAGATAACTACCCTTTTGCTAGAATTTACATTCAATGATCACTTCTTTATCCATTTAACAAGAGAATTTTAATATCCGTTTAACAATATCATATCGACCCCAATAAGCACAAGTTTTCATAGATTGGTGCCTATCTTAACCAATAAAATAGATAAATGTTCAACTTCTGACGGGCAATTAGTTGAAGCAATAAAGAATATGACATAAAACTGCCCATAAAAAAGTACCATTCACTCTTTCCTGGTAACACCCACCATCAAAGAACCCCTAGTTAATTTTTTAACCTCACCACTATATACAAAAGTTTTAGTTTCTCTTATAACAAAGGTCAGAGAACAAATCATAGCCCGGGTTTCGATTCATAACTATGACATTTACAGTAGAACTTCTCTCCTTAGCTGAAATAGAATCTTCCTCTAAACCACATCGTTTCCTGACCTAATGATGATCTTATGTCATACTAACTCAAAACGTAAGCAAAATATATCTGGAAAATATGCCCTTGAACTTAGCTACGCAATGATCATCTGCCTCATGTGTCGAGGGGACTAAAGACTGCATCATCAAGAATTTTCGGCAGATTCAGTGACATTCTAATGCAACACATCCTTTCAACTGTTCCAGCACAATTTGTAATAGATATGGGCACCTAACGGTAACTGGATATAAATGAGATAGTAAACGAATTATCGGATTTCTTTATTCGTGTGTTTAACAGACATTCATAAGCGAGACATTGAACAGTAATTCAAAACTATTCACTTTTAATGATCGTGAAACTAAGATATTTTAAAAGCAGTTTAAAACCAAATAAATTTGACCTCAAGAAGATAAGGATTATCTATAATACCTAGTTTAAATTAAAAAATTATAAAACCTTGTGAGTGCATTACATCTTCCTATATGGAAACTAAATTTTTAAAAAGCTGGTCACACAGACAGATTTATTTGGTATCGATTCTCAACTAAAAATACCGAAACACTAATCATCACTTTTTGAAAAAGCTTATAAATAATCACACTAGGATATATTTATATGTGAACGTTAAAAAAACCTAGGAACATGTTGTAAAGTTAATTATTTTGTAGGTCTGAGTTTGGTGTGAAAGTCACGTGAAATCTGCAGGAGTAAGAGGAGCAACATGTGTGAATCTACGTGATGAAAAAGCCAAACTTAAAGTACACAAATGTCTAAGCACGAAAATAGGGTGAGCTTATATTGTGATGAAGGAAAGAAGTCAAAAACAATCAATGAAGCTGAAACGTAATTTTAGGGTCATCTGATAATGGAGACTAAAGCTTCCTAATGTGGGGCTTCAGAAGATCTGCACACCTAATTTATACAACGCGGGCTAATACAGATTTATTGACAAGGCTGTAGTTATGACAACGTTTTGTATACAATATCCAATATCTTTTTACAAGCTACTATAAGCCGAATGATTTGTTTATGCTCATTTCTTGTTGTTTCAGTACAGTTCAGATATTTGGTAATTTCAAACCAGTGGTAGTGTTGCTACTCGAATGAACTTAAGTTAGACATTTTGCAGTTATTTATGAATTACGAAGTCCCATGACTTAAGTGAGTATATTTGTCTTAGGGCAGCTTCGTTTCTGGATACCGACAGCTATTGAGATGCCAGGCTGGAATTTGGTTATACACAATGCGGAGAATTATAAATAAAAATTCGAATGGTAATGAGAAAAAGATTTCAAAACTATGTAAATAGATAAGTTAGTTAACTGGAAACGAAGAGTGTGTCAGAAGACAGAATTGTGAGGATGAAAAGGGAGACAGAAGTGATAGTAAGCGAGATAGAATATATATATCTGAATATCTGTGAAATCCTCAAGGCAAGTATATAGCTTTGCCGCTCTCTATACCTACTGCGATACGTTTACGGCTGGAAGTGAGTCTTTCAACCACCAGAGCGATCAATCTACCTAATTATTTGATTGCGTCGATGATATTTCGGCATGACTGGATAATCCGAACCAAAAGGCATGTCACAAAGTGAACGTTTCGTACCTATTCTTCTCTGTTTGATTTTCAGATTCATGGTTGTCGATAATAACTTGAGCTGAAGATCAGTGTCTTGTTTTTGAAGGAAAGTAAGTTAACGAAGGTCTGAATTTTACTGACGATTATGGGAAAATACACGAAACATTTCATCTACAACCACATAGTTTTCCAAAAAATATGTTGTATATCAAAAATAACGTGCGATATACAGTCCATTTGTCAGAACTCTGAACATGAGTACGTGCCCCAAGACTAGTCCAGAGAAAAAATAATGGTCTTACGGTATGCTGAAAACGCGAATTCTAGGCCTTCTACGGAGCGTTGAAAGAATATAACGGTGCCATACCTAGCTAAACGTTTCCTAAACCCAATGCTATATCCCAATCTCGACAGCATATCGAGTAAAATCCTAGAAGTTATAAATAATTGGTATCGGCACGTCTACCATAATGACAGTCCGGTGAATGAGTTTTCATAAACCTAAGTTGAGGTAAGCCTA